CAAAATGAAATGGCCCCCTTCTGCCCCATGTTTTACCCCATTCCTGCCACATGATTTCCCTGTCTCCCTGAAAAACCAAACAAAAGACCATATGCACAACCATAGGGCCTTAACTTCCGGAGGGAATAGTATCGCCATTCATCCATTTGATGCCAGAAATCTGGAAATCAACCTTGTCTCTCCCTGTCTGTCCCCCATAAATCTGTCACCAAAGATCACATCACTTGTTCTCACATTTTTCTTCCTGTTTTTCTCTTGCCTATACCCTAGTGCATCTTGTCATTATTGTCCTGTCCTTTCCATTGTTGGAGTCTCAATTGGTCCCCATTTCCATCCTGGCCCTCCCATCCCCACCATCTGGTCCGTTCACTCGGTGGCCTGAATGAGTGATTTCTCTAATATGCAGATAGGACGATTATATTCTCTTGGTTAAAGCACTTCAGAGACGGTTCATTAATTACCCTGAAGATAAAGTCCAGCAATATAAAATTGGCTTATAGTGGATTTCCTATAAATCTCTATCTACTTTACAAACCCATTAGCCTCCTTTCAATTACTTGAACTGAGCTCAGTCTCCTTTGCTTTTTTTTTTTGTGGTGCTGGGGCTTGAACTTGGTGCCTACATCTTGAATCACTCCACCAGCCTTTTGTTTTTCCGAGACACACTCTTGTAAACTATTTGCCCGGGTTGGCTTTGAACCATGATCCTTCTGATCTCTGCCTCCTAAGTAGCTAGGATTACAAGATTACAAGTGTGAGCCACTGGCACCCAGCTTCTTTTTTGCTCTTAGATATGGATTCCCTCTGCTGTGATCATTCTTTCCTTCCTCATCTGCAATCATCCCTCAGGCTTCAATTAAACCATACTTCTAACTCTGGTTATTTCTGCTGCAGGCCAGCACAGGTCTTTCCATAAGCTTCCCTCTGACATGTGCTGAGGTTCATGTTCACCTCTGCATGGGGATGTCCATAACAACAGGGTCTGACTGTGGAATGAATGGTGTGGGAAAGGAAAACTTTTTCTCCATCTTCCTAGGGACCCTTGGAATGAAACTGACAAAAGACAGATTAAGGGAAGCAGGTTAGTACATACAGATAAATGTAAAATGTTAGACCTAGGGGCTCACTTACCATTTGACAAAGAGAGATAAATTATGGAGAAGTAACCAGACAAAGGAGAAGGTGGGGGGAATTTGGAATTCTAGGGTAAATTGTCCTTGGAAAGCTAACAGAAGACAAGGTTTCTTAGGCAGGCTTAAACTGATATTTTCCATGATGTTAAAAGTTGTCTTCTTCCTGGACACATTTACAAATGGGAAAATGCCTTGTATTTAGACAAAAGGCTGGAGGGCAAAGAGAAGACTTCTTTCCATTCAAAACAAATTTTATGCCAAAATAGCATATGTTAGAGTGGCATACTCTCTTCCCTATCAGAAGGAAGAATCGTGGTGATTAGAGCTGCTCTGAATTAACTCTGCCTCTTGAAGGTGAACTCTCAAACGTTTCTGTTTTTTTCATGTAGTGCAGGTGGTGGCTGCGGGTGGAGCCCAGCTTGAACGCCCAGCATGGATGACTACAGGGTCCTAACAGCGATCGGCGAGGGCTCCTTTGGCAGAGTTCTTTTGGTTCGGCAGGAAAGCAGCAATCAGATGTTTGCCATGAAAGAAATAAGGCTTCCCAAGGTTACTGCTAAAGAAAGTGGCTCACATTGAAAGTGAATTTGCAGTTTATATACATCTTCTAGAGGTTGAACATGTAATTTCTCCTTCCTGGAAAATCTGTAATCAGTTTATTCCTTAGCTTTACAAGGGCTCGATATATTTTGTATGGTTCTTAGGATATCATAATTAATGAAAGGAGAAAAATAGTCAATAAGTGCTGTTTGTTTTATTTCAGTGTGTTAGTTGGTAATAATTTCTAGTTTCATATTCCTAGCAATGTAGTAAATCTTTGTCAAAGGGAACTCAGGTGCAATATTAATGATGAAAGAACATAAAAATACAAAGAACACGGACTTAAAATGCAATAGTCATTAGGGAACCTACCTGTGGATCATTTTATACGTCTTATCTCCCTGAGGACTGTGTATCATCATTGCCCTGTAAAAGAATCCATACCGTGGAGAGTGCTTAAAAATATTTTGATCAAGTTTTTAAGAATACATTTTAATAAAGTTCCCAGAGTGCTAGGCATTTTTCCCACTGTGGTTTTTTTTTTTTTTTTTTTATATACCATAAGTTCAGCGGGCATTACTTGGCTTTTTGTGTGTGTGTGTGATGGTGGTATTAGGGTTTGAACTCAGGGCCTTGTGCTTGCTAGACAGGTGCTCTGCCACTTAAGCCACTCCACCAGCCATATAATTTGCATTTTTGTAAGTCTTTTTTTTTTTTTGGCAATACTGGAGCTTGAGCTCAAGACCTCAGGCTTCCTAGGCAGAAACACTACCACTGTCAGCCCTTATAATTTGCATTTTTAGCATGGTCACAGTTGGTGCTGATGTTGCTGGTCTGAGAACCTTTGTGGTAGTACCTAATCAGTGGCAGTTTCCCCTCCTCCTCTGCCTCTTCCTTGTCCTCTCCCTCACTCCCCCTCCTCCTTATTCCTTTTCTTTTTTCTCTTGTTCATGGTGCTGGGATCTAACCCAGGACTTCATATGTGTGAGGCAGGTGCTGCACTACTAAGCTACACCCCGAGGCCCTATGGTAGTATCTTGATTGTACTCTTTCAGGATTTCATCGTCCTAGAGTAAGTTAGGGATATATAGTTTTGAAAACTTATGTTGCCTGTTGTCTTCGTCCATCTTTTTTTTTTTTTTTTGGTGGTGGTGGTACTGGAGTTTGAACTTAGGGCCTTGCACTTGCAGGGCAAGTGCTCTATCACTTGAGCCACTCCACTAGCTCTATTTTGTATTGAGTTTTTTTGAGATAGGGTCTTGTGAACTGTTTGCTCAGAGCTAGCTTCAAACCTTGATCCTCCTGATCTCTGCTTCCTGGTTAGCTAGGATTACAGGCATGAGCCACCAGCTCCCATCTTTGGTGTAGTAATATCCCAGCATATTCTTTTTTATCCTGGCCAGGGGACCAATAAAGTGATGCTGAGAGCCAAAACCTGAAATCCCTGATTTTTCTTTTAGGACATACTATTTTTCAATGGTATACTGGCTTCAAATCAGGGGATGCCTAGGCAGCTATTAAAATGAGTTTCCCTACCATATATGTAAGGAATGAAAAAAAAAAAAGCATAACACAATGAAGGGGTCAGCTCAAGGATGCAAAACTTAGCCATAATTGAAAAATCACCATATATTTTCTTTTGGAGTTTGGTAAACAAGTAAAAGTACAGTTTTATAAACCTGCATATGGCACCGAAGTATACAAACTATACTAAGTATCAGTGTGAAGCTCTTAAAATTCAGCTTAAACTTGTACTTGTTTAAACTCTTTTCCAGTCTTTCTCTGATACACAGAATTCTAGGAAGGAGGCTGTTCTGTTAGCCAAAATGAAACACCCCAATGTTGTTGCCTTTAAAGAATCTTTTGAAGGTAAATATGAATTCCCCCGAAATGTGTTCTTTTCTGAATTTGATTGATGGCCCCACTATGACTTTCCTAATGAGTCTAATGTTTGTTTTAGCTGAAGGACATCTGTACATTGTGATGGAATATTGTGATGGAGGGGATCTAATGCAAAAGATTAAACAGCAGAAAGGAAAGTTATTTCCTGAAGATATGGTAAGTCATTGACTTACAGAGCTTCTCTCAAAGTTTAGGCACAACATTTTTCATAAACTTTGTTTAAATTAATTAACAAGAGCATTGATGTTTGTGATTCCCTGGCCCAGTAGTTAGAAACACCTGGTTTCTGCATCAGTGTTACTGCTTAGTGTCCTGGGGGTGTGGCTGCTTGAGATGTTTCTAAGAAGTAAAGCCCACATAGGTTATAAAATATTAAGGGATAAAGCTTCCTTGCTTAGAAAAATTTCAGAATTGCATTATTACTCATTGTACTTTGTACTAGGTATTTAAATCTTGATTTTTATTGTTCTGAAATTTTAGAAGGTATAATAGATTTCATCTGTATTACTAAATCATCAGAAGAACGAAGCTTGTCATAGCTGTTTCTTGGAAACAGCTGTTCTCAGTCTTTTGCCTTCTAAAGGTCACTATATTCCCTTAAGTCCAGAACTTACTGCATTTTTAATGGAAAATTGAATGTGTAGGATGCAAAGGTGTGATTCCTTTCTTCACCCATCATGAGGGTTAAAACTGTCACCCCTATAACAAAAGACAGTTGGTCAAGGGAAAAGCATAACAAATTTAATTAATCATAGCTTTGCATGATATGAGAACCTTCAATGACAACACAGAGACCCAGGGAAAACTCATTTTTATCCTTAGATTCAATGAAGCATGTAGAAATACTATTGATAAAAAGGTCTGACCTTGGTAATAGACTGTAAGTAAGGCCTGTCTGTTTGGATTTCTCTTGGCCTCTCTGTGTAGCAGTCCTTCATTACTGGAATAGGGCAGGGCATTTGGAGGTTGAAGGTCTTACAGTCTACTTTCAGACAAGTCAAAGATACTTATTTTTATTTTTTTCTGAGACAGGGTCTCTGTGTAGCCCAGGATGGCCTCAAAGTCATGATCCTCCTACGTTAATCCCCAGAGTATTGGGATTATAGGAGTGTGCCACCTCACCTGCCAGGAAATTTCTTTATTAGAGTAAGATTCTGGTGTGTTTTTTGTTTGGTTGTTTTTTGGCAGTCCAGGGGTTTGAACTCAGGGCCTTGCACTTGCTAGTCAGATGCTCTACCACTCAAGCTATGCCCTGGTCTTCCTTTGCTTTAGTTATCTTTCAGAGAGGGTCATACATTTTTGGCCTGGGCCAACCTCTGACCACCATCCTCCTACGTATATCTTCCCCATAGCTGGGATTGCAGGAATTTACCACCATGATTGGTTCTTCTATTCTGGTTTTATGGCTCATACACTATTAGTATTTCTTAGAGTACTATTTCTAGATTTTATAGCTGACCTTGGAAGTTGGGTTCTGGTTTCCATGACTTGTCTTGGAGAAGAGGAATTCTGCACTGGGGGAGAGAGGAGAGAAGGAGAAAGAAGAACAGGACAAGGTCAAAAAGATCTTGTTTCTCAGTCCTTTTCCTTTAGCATGCCAACGCACTATTCTTTGGGGTATTATGTTCTGAGCCCTAACACCTACTACATGATTTTGTAACAGATTAGCTAAGGAACATATTTAAATCAGTAGCCTCAATGGGGCTTAGTGTGATTTAAATTATGACATGTTTGGAAGTATATAATTATTCTTCATTTAGAAGTTGTACTGTTAAAAATATAGGTTGCATTTAAAAAGGTCAACCTTGGCTTCAAACGAACAAATCTCCATAGCAAAAATGAAAACATATGGCTTTGACATTTAGTTGTAGTTCCCCAAGGTACTTGGAAGTTCTAGATAGTATTGACCAGGGATTTATAAGAGAAAATGTCTACCTCATATGAATTTTCTGAAAAAAGTAAATGAAAATTGAATATAATGATTATACTAAAAAAAAGCTGCACATATTCATTTCCTCTTTAATTGTTTTTAGTTTTTATTTTTTGAGACAGGGTGTCACTGTGCAGCCCAGGCTAGCCTTGATCCTGCAGTCTTCTTGCCTCAGCCTCTCTAGTGCTGGGGTTGCAGGCATCTGTCACCATGCCTAGCACTCATTCATTTCTTAATGGTGAACTAACTTTATATCTGCATTTAAGAAATACTTTCATTTGATTGGATATAAGAAGAATATAGTGGAAGTTTCATTAAAATACTACTTAGATCACACATAAGATAAGGGAACGTGGTAATCACAGTTTTTCTGAATTTCTCCAGGTAATACTGAATCTTAGTTGAATTACATAACTTTCATGAGTTCTGAACTCACATTGTAAAGCCCTGGTCAACTAAAGCCTAAAGGTGACTCTTTGGAATTTGGGTTAACATGAAGCATTTATTACATTTTTACAGCTGTTGCATGCATTTTTCTTACAGATATTTAATTGGTTCACACAAATGTGCCTTGGAGTAAACCATATTCACAAGAAGCGTGTGCTGCACCGAGATATCAAGTCCAAAGTGAGTAGAATATGTTTTTGGGCCTAGAAAAATAAAGTTCAAGACTATTTAGTTATCTCTTTTTCTATTATTCATTTCCTCTTAGAACATTACTGCTTAGTTTAGAAACATTTATCAGCCTAATATTTATATACTTATTGGTGGGTTTGAACTCAGTCTTGTGCTTACTAGGAAATCATTCTATCACTTCAGCCATGCCCCCAGCTCTACATTTAATTTTTTACTTGAAATATTTCCCTCAGATTTATTAAGGTCAAATTGACAGAAATTGTATGTATTTACAATGTCAAATATGATGTTTTGATATGTGTGCACATTGTGACGTGATTAAAGTATGTGAACTAACATATCCACAAGCTCATGTATTCTTTTGTTCTTAGAGCATTTAAGATTTACTCTTGGGCTGGAAGTGTAGTTCAGTGGTAGACGGCTTGCTCAGCATGCATAACACCCTAGATTGTATTTCCAGTACTGCAAAAAAATAAAGATTAAAAAATTACAGCTACTCTCTCAGTAATTCTCAATACATACATCAACTAGAGTCACTATGCCATATAGTGGATCTTGAGAACTCATTGATCCTAACTAAAACTGTGTACTCTTTGACCTAGTATTTACACAGACGAAATTAGTATATCTGTGAAAAGGTCATTGAAAGCTCTTTTGTAGTATATGTTAATGTGCTGTGTTCCCAGCCCTTTTAGTGCCCTCTTACTAAGGTCCATATGTTCATTCTTTTTTTGGTGGGACTGCGGTTTGAACTCAGGGCTTCACACTTACACAGCAGGTACTATACTGCTTGAGCCACACCCCCAGTTCATATTTTGCTCTAATTAGTTTGTAGATGGAGTCTTGTGAACTATTTGCCTTGGCTGGTCTCAAACCTTGATCCCTCCATCCTCCTAATCTCAGCCTCCCAAGTAGATTGGATTACAGATGTGAGCTACTGTAGTCTGTATGGTCTTTTTTTTTTTTTTTCCTTTGTATGTGCTTTGGAAGTGATCACAGTCTGTATGTTCTTGATGGAAAATGGTCAGCACCTAGTCCTGCCTCTTGGAGTCACCCTAACACAAGTTCCCAGTCAGTTGATCAGATCTGCTGATAAAACCTGCAAATTGTGCATTAGATTTTACAGTAGTCATCAAGCAGGATTTTGAAACCAAGAGTTCATAAAAGAATTTACCAAGAGGGGGAGTAGGGAAAGCTAAGATTTATTAGGACACCATTAAAGAAAAAATGACACTATTGCTGCACCAATATGGGTTGGGGACAGATTTTGACACAGCGTACTTGGAATTTGGCTGATTAACCGTGGGCCTTGTTGATTGGTTGTTTCTTCTTTGAATCGTGTTTTGAATTCCACATGTGCAGAAACATCTGGAGAGCTTGGCTTATGGTGCATTTCAAATAGTTGGCTCACTGCCACATTCTGCGTGGCCCTTGGTATTTCTCCATCTGCCACGTCTTCAAAGGGGTCCTCCTCCACACCTCAGAATATATAGCAGTCAAGAGGGGATCTTGCTGTCTTGTAGTCTACTCCCGGTCTCAGCTGTCAATCAATAGTATTTCTACCCTTAATCTCCATCAGCAGCAGGCTTTGAAAGCTTCTCTGGAGACCTCTGCCTTGTGTTTGAGTAATAAAACATATAATCTAATTCTTTTTCAATGCAGAATGTCTTCCTCACTCAAAATGGAAAAGTGAAATTGGGAGATTTTGGATCTGCCCGTCTCCTCTCCAAGTATGTATCTATTGTGTTGAAGTGACAGTAACCAAAACATCCATTTCTAGAAATTCTCTGTAACAGTTCTTTCCCTTTTTGTGTTTTTAGTCCCATGGCATTTGCTTGTACATATGTGGGAACACCTTATTATGTACCTCCAGAAATTTGGGAAAATCTGCCTTATAATAATAAAAGGTAAGTGGTGTACTTATCTGGTGCAGTGACTGGTCTTACAGCATGTAAACAAAGCTAGAGTCTGGTACCACTTTCAAGCAGACACATAGAGCATATTGGTTTTTTAAAAAATAGATTTGAGGCCTAGAGGTGTATCTCAGCAGTAGAGGGCTTGGCCAGCATTTGTGAGGCCCTGGGTTCAGTCCCCAGCCACACACACACACACACACACACACACACACAGCTGACTGAACTGGGGACAAAATAGCTCTAAAGGGACCTAGTGGGACAATTGGGGGATTCAAATATAGACTAAATATCAGATAATGTTATTGGATTAAGATTAAGTTGCTTGGATATGAAAATGAGTGTTTGTGGGGAGAATATGTGTCCTTGCTCTTAGGAGATACAGACTGATATGTTTAGGGGTGAGGTGTCTGATATCTGCAGATGTACAGAGAAAGGGGTGATAGCACACAACCATGGTAAGTGTTAGTGATTAGGGAGTGTAGATGAGAGCATTTGGGCATTGCACTTTTTTGTAGGTTTGCAATTTAAAAAAAAATCAAAAATTGAGAGGGAAAGTTGATAAAAAGTCACAAATTAAAAAGAGAAAAATTCTGAGATGCCAACTAGGTAGTGAGAATGATGGAGGAAACCAGAGATGCTTAGTATAAAAAAATCCTCTGATTTTGAAGAGCTGTTTTATAGAAGAATGAGTTGTCTCATTCTCTTTTTTTGGCACAGAGGAGAGTTCCTGGCAGACACCTCTTAGCTTAGGAGGAAACACACCATTGCTTAGAGCCGTCCTTAGGAACAGGCTGTGTGAGGCACAGAGCTGTCCATGGGGAGATGCTGTCAGAGGCTGGTGTGGTGTGCCTGCCAGTCTGATGGGAGCTGCACCAAATGTGTTCAGAGTCTTCTCCAACTATGATCATTTGAATCTGGGAATATTCCCCAAATGCTACTGAAGTGCTATTGATTTGCAGAGGTGGGTTGGGAGAGCAGAGAGTTTTATCATGAACGTTACTCTTAGTAAGTATATGTGAGAACAAGATTACTGTATGTTTTATCTAACATGTAGGAATTAGTTGTGATCTCTATTATTAAAGGTAGGATAATCTTTAATTTTTATTAGAAAATCCATATATTTTGGTATGAAAGCTCATAAGTCACTTGTACATTGTTTCTTTATGCTTCCAGTGACATCTGGTCCTTGGGATGCATTCTGTATGAGCTCTGTACCCTTAAGCATCCAGTAAGTATGGTGTGCAAAAAAGAAACAGCAGTCTGTTGTAGTAGCTGGCTAAGTCCTCAGAAATGGGCTGGTTCCAATTGACCACTTTCCTTCTGGATGAACTCGTTATAAAAAGTTTTCATATGTTCCTACTGTTCTTGTCTTTGCCTTGAACCATTTTTGTATTATGTACTAATAGGAAGTGCCTGTTATTTAATTTCTGTAGTTTTATATGTAGCATTTATTTCCTTTTTTTTTTTTTTCTTTTTTGTGGTACTGGGGCCTGAACTCAGGGGCTTCACCTTGACCCATTCCACCAGCCCTATTGTGAAGGGTTTTTTGGGATAGGGTCTTGCGGAACTATTTGCCCGGGTTGGCTTTGAACCGCGATCCTCCTGATCTCTGCCTCCTGAGTAGCTACAATTACAGGTGTGAGCCACCAATGCCTGGCCCTTCTTTTTGTTACTCTTGTTTTGGTTGAATACATATAACATAAAATGTGCCATCTTAACCATTTTTATGAGCACATATTACAGAAAATAATGTGTTTCATTATGACATTTTTATACATACATATAATGTAGTTTATGATATTCACCGCCCCCCTCCAATGGGTATTTTCCTAGAAGCTAGATCACATGGTAGTTCTACTTTTAGTTTTTTAAGGAATCTTAATACTGATTTCCCTAGTGGCTTCACTAATTCGATACTGCCAACAGCGTGTAAGGACTCCTTATGACTATATGCTTGCCAAATTTACTGTTGTTTGTTTTCTTGATTATAGTCATATGACTGGAGTGAGGTGGAATCTCAGTGTTGTTTTGATTTGAGTTCCTTTATGGCTAAGAATGTTGAACATTTCTTCATGTATTTATTGGCCATTTGTATTTCTTTTGAGAACTGTCTGTTCAACTCATTTGCCCATTTTTGATTGGACCATTTGCTCTTTTGGTGTTTAATTTTTGAGTTCCTTATATATTCTGAATATTAATCTCTTCTCAGATGATAGCTGGAAAAAGTCTATCCTATTCTGTAGGCTGTCTCTTTGCTCTGGTAATTATTTCCTTTGCTGAGCAGAAGCTTTATAATTTGATGCAATCCCATTTGTCAGTTCTTGCTGTGTTTTTCTGAGCTATCGGAGTCCTAGTCAGAAAGTTGTTGCCTGTGCCTACATCTTAAAGTGTTTTCCTCTAGGTCTTACATTAAGGTCTTTGACACAATTTGAATTGATCTTTGTACAGAATGGGAAATAAAGGTATAGTTTCAGCTTTCTACATGTGGCTATTCAGTTTACCCAGCCCCATTTGTTAAAGAGTCCATCTTTTCTCCAGTGGGTATTTCTGGAACCTTTGTCGCAACTCAGATGGGTATAGTTGAATGGGTTTTTTTGGGAGGATCCTCTATTCCATTGGTTTACATGTTATGTGTGTGTTGGAGTGTGTGTGTGTGTGTGTGTGTGTGTGTGTGTGTGTGTGTCAGTTTTTGTTACTATGACTGTTATATAATTTGAAATCAGGTATTGGGATACCTCCAGCATTGGTCTTTTTGCTCAGGATTGCTTTGGCTATTTAGGATTTTTGGTGTTTCTGTGTGAATTTTAGAATTGTTTTTCTCTTTCTGTGAAGAATGCCATTGGAATTTTGATGCATTGAATCTGTAGATTGCTTTCAGTAATATGGCAGTATTTCTGAAATATTTTTATTAATATTTCACAATATTCTGCCAGTTCATGAACATATAAGGTCTTTCCCTCTTCTAGAGTCTTCTTCAATATCTTTCTAAAGTGTTTTATAATTTCATAGTAGAGATCTTTCACTTTCTTGATTACATTCATTCCTATGTATTTTTTGTTTTGTTTTTGAGACTATCGTGAATGGAATTGTTTTCCTGATTTCTTTCTCAGCATGTTTGTTATTAATATATATAAAAGTTACTGATTTTTATATTTTGATTTTCTATCATGCCACTTTGGTAAGGAGCTTATCAGCTCTAAAAGTTTTCTAGTAGAGTCCATAGGATCTTTATGGATGATACCATCTGCAAATAGGAATAATTTGACTTCTTTTTCTATTTGTATCCCTTTCATTTCTTTTTCTTGCTTTATTGCTATAGCTAAGAACTCATCCACTATGTTGAATAAGAGTAGAGAAAGTAGAAACCCTTATTTCACTCTTGACTTTAGAGGAAATGCTTTCAGTTTTTCCCCATTCAGTGTAATGTTGGCTATAGGTTCATGGTATATAGCCTTTATTATGTTGAGATATGATCCTTCTGTTTGTAGCTTCTTCAGGACTTTTATCATGAAGAAATGTTAAATTTTTCAGAGACGTTCTTCTGCATCTGTTGAAATGATAATGTGATTTTTTTTTTTTTTTAGTGTTACTGACGTTTGAACTCAAGGCCTTGTACTTGCTAGGTACTTGCTCTACCACTTGAGTCATGCCTCCAGCCCATTTTGCTTGAGTTTTTCCCTTATTATTATTATTTTTTTTTCAAATAGGGTCTCACATTTATGCCTGGGTCAGCATGGATCAAGATTCTCCTGTTCATACTTCCTACATAGCAGGAATGACAGGTGCATGCCACCACACCTAGCTTTTTTTTGGTTGAGTGTGGTCTCACTAACTTTTTGCCTGAGCTGGTTCCAGACCAAGATCTTCCCAATCTCTTCCTTCCAAGAAACCAGGATTAGAGGCATGAACCACTGTGCCTGGCTTATTTTTTCTTTATTGTTGTTTGAATTTAATAATTCCTCAACCTTGTCTTCAATCACTAATATTCTTTTCCTTGCATGGTCTAGTCTATTGGATGTGCTTCCATTGAGTTTTTTCCTCCAGTATTGGGGGTTGAACCTAGAGTCTCACACTTAGTAGGCACGCACTCTATCACTTGAATTATACCCCCAGCCTTTTGAAGGGGTGGTTTTGTTTTTGTGATAGGGTCTTGTTAAACTTTGCCTGGGCTGACCTGGGATTCGTGATCCTACTGCTACTGCCTCCTAAGTAGCTGGAATTTTATCTGATTTACTGAAGTTTGTTCTTTCTTCCTCCTCCTATTCTTCCTCCTCCTCCTCTTTTGGTGTATTAAGACAAGGTCTTACTGTGTAGCCTCACAGGCTGGACTTGAATGTGAGATCCTCCTGCCTCAGTTTCCAGAGTGCTGGGATTACAGGTGTGTACCACCATATCCAACTGATTTAATGAACTTTTCTTTTCCAAGAGTTTCATTTATTGGGGCTTTTTTCCCCCAGAATTTCTCTTTGCTGAATTTCTTATCCTAGTCTTGGACTGAGACTTCTTTACTTTATCCATCTATTTATTTGAATCTTTCTTGAGGTTATTGATCATTTTTAAAACTACACTTTTGGCTTTTTTTTTTTTTTTTTTTTTGGCAGTACTGAGGATTGAACTCAGGGCCTTACACTCACTCTACCACTTGAGCTATGTTCCTAGTCCTTTCTGTTCCTAGTTTGTTTTGATGTTTTTTTCTTCACATCTTTACTTGTATTTTTTATTAGTAGGGTAATGCACCTTCAAGGCAGAATGCCAACATGTTCCTCCATAAGCATTACAAAGCCTGATATTTAATATTAGTTAGTTCCAATATATTTGTTATGTTGTACATTAAATACTTTTTTCTTTCCTTCCTTCCTTCCTTCCTTTTCTTTCTTGCTTGCTTTCTTTCTTTCTTTACTTTCTTGTGTTGGGGATTGAACCCATGGCCTTGCACATGCTAAGCTAAGCACCTGTCACCACTGAACTATACCCCAAATCCCAGAAAACTGTTTAACTGTTACTCCAGAATATCATTTTATATTACACTCAGTTACTCACAAAACTTTAATAGCTACTTTAATGAAATGAATTGTAAAAAGGATTTTGTAGTAGAAAAATATACATAAGTGGTAGAGCACTTACCAAGTGCACAAGGTCCTGGATTAAATCCCTAACACTGAAAATTTCCACAGACACACACATGCACACACACACACACACACACACACACACACACATACACAGCTACACGCTTCACCACCACAGCAGAAGTATATAATTGGACAAGTCTGAAGTGATTGTCACCATGGAGCAAGCCAGAGGGTTCTGGGTAAGGGTAGTAAAGGAAGTAACTCTACACTTAGAATCAAGTGTCATTAGTATCCTTTGACTTTTTAAAAAAGCGTATGTCTGTAATCAAGTTGCTTTGATTTTCAAATATATTAAAATGTGTATCTACAAAAACATACAGATTACAACAAATAAAGTACCCAAGGGAGTTATTGATGGGAAGACTTTCTCTAGACAGGAAGGTTTGCTGGGGTATGGCTCAGGCGATAGAGCATCTGCCTAGAAAGAGAGGTTTTTTTTACTTTTCACGGTTACTTTTCTCCTGAACCACCATAAGACTGTCAAATTGTATCTTAAGGACACCTCTAGAAAGAAAAAGACCAGACAGCAGGTCCATTTATAAAATTAAAATACTTACTTGGATATGAATTCAGCTTAGTAGATATTTTATTATTTCTATTTTCTTTCCCTTTATCTGCTTTTAATGCTAAATATTTTACTTTTCAGTTTCAGGGAAATAGTTGGAAAAATCTTATCCTCAAAATATGTCAAGGGTCCATCCGTCCACTGCCATCTCACTACTCCTATGAGCTTCAGTATCTCGTCAAGCAGATGTTTAAAAGGAATCCCTCCCAGCGCCCCTCAGCTACTACGCTGCTCTCCAGACGCAGTTTAGCTCGGCTTGTCCACAAGTGCTTACCCACTGAGGTATGGTACAAACTCCGTGGCTCTGACAGGTCTCTAGTGCATGGTAAAATGGTTATCTCGTCAACACAATTACTCATTATACATGCTTATGAAAATTCACACAATGCAAGTCAGGTGTGGTAGACTTACATCTGTAATCCTACCTACTCAGGAGGTGGAGGTTGGGAGGAGTTTGCAGCCAGTCTAGGCAAAAAGTTCACAAGACCCCGTCTCAATCAATATCTGGATATGATGGTGTGAGCACCTGTCTTCCCAGCTACAGGGAAAGCGTAAATAGGAAGATCTCAGCCTAGTATGGCTAGACCCTATTCAAGAGTAGATTCTATTCAAAAAATATTTAAAACAAAAAGGACTAGAGGGCGTGGCTCAAGTGGTAAAGTTTCTGCCTAGCAAGCACCAGGCCCTGAATTCAAGCCCCAGTACTGCCAAAAAAATGCAAATAATTCGGAAGTATATTAAAATACTTAAACTTCATTTCCTTCTCCCTTCCACAATGCTATTCTCCAAAAATTATCAGTTACAGTTGGCATAGCCTCCCAAATCTTTTTCTAAACACATATAAATATGTTTATCTCTCTGTCTAGTTTACATGTACTTATTTATTTTATTTTTAATTGTTTTTGGTGCTGGGGATCGAATTCAGGGCCCTAGGCATACTAAGTACACACTGTCACTGAGATATACCCTCAAGTACTTTTGTTTGGTTGGTTTTTTTGGTTTTTGAAACAGCATCTTGCTAAGTTGCCCAGGCTGGCCTCAAGATCAGAATCCTGTCCAGCCTCCCAAGTAGCTGGGATTACACACAGCTTCTTATATCTACTTGTAAATGGCTTTGTTTTGTTTTTTGAGATAGGGTCTCATTATGTAGTCCAGGCTGACTTCAAACTCAGGATCCTCCTGCCTCCATCTCCCTAGTGCTAGGATTGCAGGCATGCATCACCATGCCTGGCCTGGCATATTTATTTTTCAACTTTAAATCTTCTTATGTTGAAGAATGTTTATAATTATATGACAGTGTGGCAGTGTCTAAAGAAAAGTGTCTTTCATGTCTTTAAATTTTCAACTTAAAATTTCAGATCATCACAGAGTATGGAGAACAGGTATTAGATGAAACCAAAATATGTGAGCATAATACATCAAGAAAAAAGGGTAAGAATTTTAGAAACGTAATTTTTAAGTGCCCTTTTAAAAATATAGTAAAGAAAGAAAATGTAATTTTCAAGTTATTAGAAGTGATTATTAGAGATATTCTTCAAATCAAAACTTTCTTTTGACTCTTGTACTGTACTTTAGCTTTCCAGTGATGAAGAAAAGAGTCTCATTTGGATAATTTAGTGATGGAAAGATTGTTTTGTTATTAACACCTCATTCACTCTGTTGTTAAGGTTAGGTAGAAGACTTCTGTAATCTTTTAAGAAAATTTATCCTCAGGTTTCTGAAGGACCATGTCTAAACCAACTTTTCAAAAGTAGAGTCTTTCCTAATGTAAACTGGCTTTGGATGGTAGTGCTATGTCAGTGTGGGTTCATTGATTGTAACAAATGCACAATCATGGTGTGGGGTGTTGGCAAAAAAATGAAAATGGTGTGGGGTGTTGGAGGTGGTACATGTGTGAAACGGGTATATATGCTTTCCACTAAATTTTTCCAAGAACCTTAAACTGCTCTAAACAATAAAAATTATCAGTTAAAAAAAAAAAAAAAACCACAGCCTTTTCAAAGGTTAGGAACCATTTACATAATGACTGCATAAAATTTTCATACATCTATAGTCTGCCCAGAGCTGGTATCAAATTTAATTTATTGTCTCTTTGGAATTTGTCATCTCTGCATTTCCTCAAAGCAATTTTTTATTCCTTTTCATTTGTCATCAACAACTTCCTCCTGAAGAAAGCCAACAGAGATAGTAGATAGGGGCAGAATGAGAAAGAACAGTTGAGAACTATACGTTACCCACTACTGGGGTATTGTGCAAAGCCTTCTTTGCATGAGGTTCTTTATTATTGTGTTGCACTCATAAGCTACCAGAGAAACATTTTGCAAAACTGTTTTTTTTTTTTCCTGAAAGTTAACTTTTTTTTCCTTAGTGCTAGGAGTACACTGAAGGGTTTTGTGCACGCTAGGCAAGTGTTCTTCTTCTGAGCTATACTTCCAGCCCTGAACATTACCTTTTCTTAAGTTTTATCTATTTATTTATTTTTGATGGGAGGGGTGGCATTTGATTTCAGCAAGGCAAGTGCTCTACTGCTTGAGTCCACTTCTGCAGCCCTTTTTGCTCTGGTTGTTTTGGACAAAGGGTCTCGCTTTTCCCCCCCAGGCCTTCCTGGGCCCCAGTCCTCCTGTTCTATACTTCCCACTGGTGCTGGGATGACAGGCACACACTACCATGCCCAGCTGTTGGTTGACATGGGGTCTTGAAAACTTTCTACCAGGCTGGCCTCAATCCATGATCCTTCCAATCGCAGCCTCCCAAGTAGCTAGGATTAGAGGTATGATCCACTTGCACCTAACTGAATGTTAACTTTTAAATGTTGGTTTGGAAGGATGTGTTGAATCTACAGAGGAAAAACCAGCTCAGTTTCTCCTACTGTTCAGATCATTTCTATATTCCCAAAATGTGTAAGATATCCCCCTCCCAGCAAGCAAGCTCTCAGTTCTACACCAGATACCAGCTAAGTGTTGAATTGAATTCAGTTCTGACACTGCCTGCCAGATCCCACAGGTTGAAGGCTAGTCCCCACTTCAGACACCAGTAGCAAGGTGGGCCTACAGAACTCCTGACCAACTGGCTACAAATTGGGATTCCCATGACTTCTTCAGACTTGATTACTTTGCTAGAGTGGCTCACAGAACTCCAGGAAACCCTTACAACACACAATAGAGATACCTGCACACATTTGTAGCAGCACTGTTCACAACAGCCAAGGCATGGAATTGCCTAGATAAAGAAAATGTGCTGTATATACCCAATGGAGTATTATTCAGCCATTAGAAAGAACAAAATCATGTCATTTGCAGGAAAATACATAGAAATGGAAATCATCATGTTAAACCAAATAGGCCAGGCTCAGAAAGACAAACATCACATTTTCTCTTAAATGTGGAATCTACATAAAATAGGACATGAAGGTAGAAGAGGGACTATGTAACAGTTTGTTATAAAGGATATTTTAAGTGATTCATATAAGCTGATGAGAAGACACACAGGGTGAAGTCTGGACAGGTCTTGAGCACAGGGACTTCTGTCCCTGTGGAGTTGGGCTGCAACACCCTCCTGGCACCTGGATGAGTTCTCGGTCACCTTCCTGTGAACCTCCACATGTTCAGTGACAGAGAGGCTCTCCAACCCTGTCCTTTTGGGTTTAGTGGAGACTTTGTTGCATAAACATGACTGAAGCGTGGATAGCAATGTAGAAATGTAACGAGACAGAAGGTCTGATCTGAGTGGGGGGCTCAGCCAGGCTGTCCAGAAAAAATCTGGAACCAGCAGTCTTCTGACCTACTATCACACAAGGGAGGTCAGAGAATTCTTTATGATTGTCTCTAAGACAGAAAGCTGGGGGGAGATTAGAGTATATTTTTGGTTTCTCTGATCCACCTTGGGGAAGAAGAATCCTAGTTTGTATGGATGATCTGGGGAGAGAAAGGAGGAAGGAGAAGGGCAGAGAGTGTTTGCTTGCTCTCTGTGGCCTAAAGCGCCTCGACATTACCTTCCTTTACCTTTATTGCTCTGAAGCTGTCCCAAAGCTGCATTAGGAACAAGGACAAAATGCCAAATACTTAACAAAAGATATGTTATTGATTTAGTCATTTAGGAAATAGCAAAGGCAATGGGAATTCTGAGCTTAGGAACTGTGGAGAAAACCCAAAATACATCTGTCGCCATATCACAGTGTAAACCCTTCAGTCCTTATAACTCAACCTTTCGTCCATTACCTAAGAGGTAGCTGCATACCTTGTTTTACAAGTTTCCTTTGTTACTAAGTTCACTTTACTGTTTTGTAGCTTTTGTTCACATTCCAGGGTAGTGGGAAACACTGGGCAAGAAAAACAGACTAAGAAAAGTTTCAAGGTAGTTGATAAGAGTGTAGTCGTACAGTTTCTAAAACAGAAGAATAAAGGAGGCGGTGAAATCTATCATAGTGGGACCCTGTGTCTGGTAGCATCTCCATTTGGTCTCTAGACAGTGAGACCAGAACAGTGAAAGGGAATGTGAGGGCAGGGACTGTGTATAATGTGCTCACTCTCGTGTTCTCACTGCTTGTCATCGTAGATGTTCAACCATAACTTGTAAAATGTTGAATGAGTTAGGAGCATGAACTGCAAGGTGGTGCAAGGCAGGAGATATCCCTATGGAAGGATTGGTTGCCAGAGTTCTTCCCTGATGCGTACCTCTTGTGAGTGACAACCAGTGCACTCCTTATGCAGGAGGCCCGTTCCACCTGCTGTGACAGTTGTCAGAATACAGATTCCACAAGTTAGTATGTGCTGGTGGGAATAATGACCCTCAAGTATGTGAGCATACTACCTCTTAGTGCTTAAATCAGTTGACCTAAGTGAATAGCGATGTCTTCTAACTTCCAGAATTTAGCTTTATGAATAAAGCAACAGAAAGAGCTTCTTTCAACATTACTATTTCAGCTATTCCTGGGCGATTAAAGCTTGATATTTCCATTCTGGCCAATGCTTTGGCTCTTTGACTTTCAAACCCTCATTTTTCTCTCAAGCTTTATTCAGATCACACTGGAAACTTAGTAAGATGGGCCTTCCTGTGCTTTCTCTCTCACCCGTCTCTTTCTTTTAAGCAGACCCCAGCAGAATCAGGATGGCTTTGGGAAATGAAGCAAACATGATGGTAAGTGCTTTAAAATTAAATTTATAAAATATGCATCTGTTGGGTATCAGCCCTTAGGTGCTGTGAGATATTTGGATGACTCTGACCTTGACATTCTAGTTAGGTCGTTCTTCATCTTTTGGCATGTGAAGTAATGGGTAGCTGTGGTTCTACACTGCCTGCTGAGACTACTTAGATCATCATTTATTTTGTTTCTCCATTTTTAATTATGGATGATAGTGGTTTCAATGTAGATGTGAGAGCTTTGTCCTGCCTTCAGTTGTGAAAATCTTGTTTTAGCCTGGCTTTTCTTTTTTTTTTTTACTGTGGTAAAAAAATATATATATAACAAAAAATGTTGCCATTTTAGCCAATTTTAACTGTAGCATTAATTGGCATTTATAATATTGTACAGTCACCATTATTTTCTTTTTCTAAAACTTTTCATCACCCTAAACAGACACTCTGTACCTCTAAACCACCCTTCACCCCATCCTGACCCTAACTCAGCCCCTGGTAACCTTTTATCTTTCTGTTTCCATGAGTTTGCCTATTGTAATATTTCATATAAGCAGACTCCTACAGCATTTGTCCTTTTGTGTCTGGCTGCAAATGGGATAATTTCATTCTTATTACTGCATAATACACTAGCCTGTACATATATCAAATTTTCTTTGTCCATTCATCTGTTGATCTATTAGGTCCTGTTCATCTGTCTAGACCTAGGTAGCTGTGGTACTCTTTATACCAAAGATGTAATAAAGTTATGAATAATAACAGCCAATCCATTTTCTAGTGTTGTCACACTTACATTAGCAAATAAGGTACTATCAATGATTCTTTTTCTTCCTTCAATATTTTAATTAATCTTTTTGGTGGCATTGGGGATAGAACCCAGGACTTTGCACATGCTAAGCACACACTGTACCACTGAACTACTCCATAGCCCCTAACCTTTTAGTTAAAAAGTGAAAAGAGGAGCTGGCATGATGGCACACACCTGGAATTCCAGCACTCAGAAGGCTGAGGTGGGGGGATTATGGGTGTGAAGCCAGCTGGGGCTACATAGTGAGACCCTTTTTTAAAAAAAAAAATACAGAGGAAAAGATGTACTGTCATGAAATTTACTGTTAATTAAACCTACAAATGTTTGAAGAACATAGGATGTAAACAAACAATGTGTTACAGTTATATTGCTATAAAGGGAATATATCCTGCCACTGTACTTCTAAAAAATCTTTTCATGGTGAAATCTGGGTCTTTTTTCTAGCATAATTTACATATAATAGCATTTCCCCATTTTTAGCATACAGAATTTTGGTGATTTTATGTAATCATATAATCACTCCCACAATAAAGATGTAGAAGCTCCAGCCTCCTGAAATTTTTGTACCCCTTTGCAAATGATCCCAAACTCTGCCCCAGAGAGCCACCACTGTAGTTCCAATACAGTCATGTGTAGCATGCTAAGCCATGGGGACATGTTGTGAGAAGTGCATCTTTAGACAGTTTTATCATTATGCAAATGCCACAGAGTGTTCTAAGATGGCTACAGTGTCACTAAGCAATGCAGCTCATGGGACCACTGTTGTCTCTACCTCCATCAGTGACCAAAACATTGACGTACAGCACGTGACTATACAACTTTTAATGGACTTCTCAGTATGGTCCTGAAAAACACAAAGGGTACAATATATACACAGAGTGGAGAAAAGGTCAAAAAGCAAGTCAGAAACGGAGGGCTTGAGATGGGACAAGAGAGTTGTTGATCAGCTCTGTGCAGCGCTGAGTGACCCGGGTCAGAAGTTTGAGGCTGTTGTAGGAGTAGAGCCATGATTGTCAATGGAGAAGAAGATCCGAGTCCCCAGTGACAGAGTTTTTGTGTCCCCTAAGTGAATCGTAGAAACCAGAATTCCTCTTCCCCGCAGTGAGTCATTGAAGAGGAGTCTGAGGACCACTGTATAGGAACAAGAGAACTCAATGTGACAGCCGCGGCCTGCTGTTTATTCATTCAACCAATAACTGGAGTCAGCATGGGACTGTCTCAGTACTGCCTTTGTATTCCTTCTCATGATACATGAAGATTTAGTAAAGATCAGCAGTGGGTTACTGCACTTCATGAAGTCAAGGGCTTAGATGATTTAGAAAAATACTGATTTAGGTAGATACATTTGACCATTATGGTGTAGGGCCCAGAAGAGGTGGCACTTTTCCTTATGTGATCATAAGGGTCATAGCCAATACTCCTACAACAACAGATAGGTTAACTAGACAAGCTTAACAAATTTAATCAGTTTTGTGTGACATGGGTAGGAGCCTTCGGAATGAGGGCACAAAGACCCAGGGTGAACTATCCATTCTTATGTTTGGGCTTGATGAAGCATGGTCATCCATGTAGAAATGTTACGGGCAAAAAGGGTATAAGCTACTAAGGGTAGCTTATGCTAAAGGGAATAAGTCTGAGGGAGAAACCCAGCAAGGTCAGTCTAGATTCTTCTTTGCCGCTAGTTGTAGCATTTCTTCCTCCCTGGTATGGGGTAGGAGGACTCCTCAGGAATGAGGGTTTATGACCTACTACTGGACAAGGGTAGGTCAGAGAATTTCTTTATGGCTATCTCCTAGACAGAATGGTAGGGAAGGACTCTAATATCTTTATGCTTTATGGCTTGCTTTGAGGAATGGGGGTTCTAGTTTCTATGACCCACCACGGGGAAGATGAATTCTGGTTCCGTTGATTCTCTTTTAGGGAGAAGGTCAGAGAAACCTTGTTTCTGAGGCTACTTTAGAGATCTTTCGGCGTCCTTTAGTTCAAAGTTCTCAGCATGCCACAGTGCCATACTTCATACTCCAAGTCCCAACATGGCAGCTTCATAAAATATCTCATTCTGATGTTGCATCAAGTCCAGTACAGCAAACCATACTGAAAAATTTCAGTATTGTTTTCCTCAATAAAAACCTATCAGACACATCTGTTATTTTTATATATTTCCTTCATGTTTGTAATAATTGACATTAATGGCTATTAACATATATATGTGGTATATAGTTATTAATATACATGTACTTGGGATCTATGACTATTCATGTTTTTAACTCATTAATTTGTGTTTACAGTTAAAATAACTTTTCTGTATCAATTTAAATATTGTCTAATCAATATTTTTAAACCTTTTTTTTTTTTTAAGCAGGAGGAAGAACAAGGTACCAAGTATAGCCATACTGATTTAGAAAGCACTAATACAAATTCAGCTGAAAGTACATTGAGGAGAGTAACCAGAGGGAAAAAAGGTGAGTTGTTCAAGTTGTGGGCAGTTACTGAGTCACTGATGTGGGCAGTTGGGGCTATGGAAGGAATACCAATTTTTATTTTGTGGGTCTTAAATATCATTAGCAAGGATACAGGCAGATATTTATTTGCTCATTCAGTATTTTATTTAATGTTAGAAGAATAGTATTTATCCACATATACCAAAAAAAGAGAGACAGAGAGAGAAAATAGGGCCAAGGATATAGCTCAGTGGTAGAGCACATGTTTAATTTGCTCAAGGCCCTGGATCAAATCCCCCAGCAGAAAAAAAAGAATAGTATTTATCACTGAGAGCCATTAGGAAAGGTTGTATTTTGTTGTTATCCACCATAAAATATATAGGAAATTGTGAATATTTCAGTTCTCTTGGGACTTCATTCTTATGCATCATATAATATGTAACTATATACATATTATTTTCTTAAAAATGTGATTTTAAGTGATTCATTCTGGATTGATCTATCATTTTGAATGATCTTATGTGGATTCTTATTTTAATTTCTTTTGTTGCTTAGATTGAAAGAATTCCTTGCTAGATCTGGGTTTGAAAGAGAAAAGAAATATGTCCACATTGATAGGGCCTATGTGTGAATATAGATGAATAAATTAAACAATATGATTACCATTCTTTTTCCACATTTTAGAATCAGGAACTCAGTCAGACCATCTGAGGAAAGCCAGTTCACCAAGTCCCCAGAGGCGACAGTGGGAGAAAAATATGCCCAATATAGCTCTTCAAGCTTTGGAAAATGCTTCCATACTTACCTCCAGTTTAACGGCAGTGGATGATACAGGTTAGTACAGTCATCATCTCTTGTTATCCTCTGGGGATTGATTCTAGATACTAAAATCTACGGATCTCAAATTCCTTATATAAATGGCATACATAGTATTTGCCTATAACCTACTCACTCCTCTCGTATACTTTAATCTCTAGATTACTTATAATGCCTAATACAATGTAAATGCCATGTAAATAGCTATCATACTGTATTGTTTAGGAAATAATATGAAAAAAGTCTGTACATGTTCTGTATAGACTTAATTTTCTAAAAATTATTTCTGGTTTGAGGATTTAGAACCCATGGATATAGACATGGGTCAGATTGAATATAATGGTCAGATTGAATGCTACTATTTTATTATACAACAGTTTGTACTAGTTCTTCACTGTGCTAGGATTTTCTTTTATGTCACTGTGAGGGATATTGGGTGTCACACATCAGAGCACTTCCCATCTAGCTGGTGAAATAGATTTTAATTGAGAGTCAAATATAAAACTGGGCATGGTGGTGCATGCCTGTAATCCTGTATTTTGGAAGGCTGAGGCAGGAAAATTGCAAGTTCCAGGCCAGCCTGAGCTACATAGCAAGATCCTGTCTTAAAAAATAAATAAGACAGGCGCCAGTTGGCTCATGCCTATAATCCTAGCTACTCAGAAGGCAGAGATCGGGAGGATCACAGTTCGAAGCCAGCCTGGAAAAATAGTTCAACAGACCCTATCTCAAAAAAACCCTTCACAAAAATGGGCTGGTGGAGCAGCTCAAAGAGAGTCAGATATAATTACCTTTGAAATACAATCTGGAAGGTGAAAGTGTTTTTATTGGATACTAATTTTATCTTTTCACAAACAGGTGGTTCTGTAATAAAGTATGGTGGAAATAATGCCCGTAAACAGTGGCTCAGAGAGCCACCTGACACCCTGTTGAACATTCTTAAGGATGCTGATCTCAGCCTGGCATTTCAGACATACACAATCTATAGAGCAGGTAATTTTTATCGATTACATAATCATAGAGCTGCTTTGATTTTTAAAAATTATGGTAAAATATACATAACAAGTTGCCTGTCTTATCACTGTTAAGTGTTCAGCTCAGTAGTGATGAGTGCATTCACACTGTTTGGCAACCAGCCTCCAAAACTCTTTTCATCTTGCAAAACAGAAACCTTGCCAATTAAACAATAACTCCTGTTCTCCTTTCCAGAAACCCTGTAGTTTAAAGCTGTAAAATTGTATTTTTAGGTATTCTTGAATCTTTCCTAGCCAGTCTTTAGCCGTAATTAAAATTTCTAAGAGCTCCTTTACTCTTACTTACTCATTTGGTTGCTTATTTTAGTAATCTTGAATCTACTTTCTTTGAATAATTTTTTTTCATTTTGTTTCGTTTTTGTTTTCTTCTGCAGTGTTGAGAATCAAACCCAGGCTCTTGTGCATTCTGAGCTACATCCCTAGACCATGAACTGCCCTTTTTTTTTTATTATTATTCATATGTGCATACAATGCTTGGGTCATTTCTCCCCCCTGCTCCCCCCTTACCACCCACTCCACTCCCTCCCTCTCCCCCCGCCCCCCCCATACCCGGTAGAAACTATTTTGCCCTTATCTCTAATTTTGTTGAAGAGAGAGTATAAGCAATAATAGGAAGGAACAAGGGTTTTTGCTGGTTGAGA